CTGAACCTTCCCATGATGCTCCCCATCCTCCTCACACCGTCCCGCCCTGCATAGGGATCTGTCATCAGAGGAGGCTTGATGATACCACAGGGTGACATGCAGAGGGTTGAGCGGTCGGGGGGGGAAGGGGGATTGGGGGAATACACGTGACCCGGTTTTTAGGGGTAGGGCTTAGACTCCTGGGTTAGCCAAATGTATGATCAGTACAATCCAGCCCCTGAGCATTATAATTGCCTCTATGTGCCCTGTGATGTCATTGGCTCGGCTGCATGGATCCAGAAACTTGACTATAATTCTCATTTACCGTCTTGTACATTTGAAGGTCATTTAGTTATTTAATTTGGTGCAGTTTTAATGTAAAAAATGATGCTGAGAAATGGGCCAAAAGATGTATTTTTATGTTTTTTTAATACTGTAATTGTATCTGAGAAATACAGTATTAAACAGACGAACACAGACAACTTCAGGCAGCGGAGGGAGGGATTAACAGCAGGCTGAAGGCTGATTTTGTCAATGAGACCTCCAACCTACATGTGATCACATAATCTGTTCCCTGATTGGTTCCCGATCATCAGCCGATACCCGGGCTGTCCGTGAGGGCCGAGATTAAACTCCGCCGTCTGTGCAGAGCGGTGACAGCGCGCTCAGACACGGAGGGACGTTTATAAACGGATCGCCAGGCTCGGGTCATCACGCTGGGAATCAATATACAGGTTACGGGCCGACCTATGATCGGCGGCGGTATTAATGACCCGGCCGCCTGTTATCCTTCCTGCCGATGTTAAGACGATTATCATCTCTGACCATGTGACCTGAATCTTCTCTCTTTGTCACAGGCTCCGCCCATCTCTCCGCCCCCGTCACATGATCCCTGTGCGACGAGTATCACCGGACTCCCCTGATGTCATCCTCCTCCCGGCTCTTCCTTCATCTGGTCTGTGCAGTACGAAGACTCATCGGCCAGAGACGGCGCTCTCTGCGGGATTCGCCGACCTCGGTTTCCGGGCCCCCCCTGCTGCTCACCC